TCAGACCCCTGGGGCACTGAGTGTATGCTGCTCCCCATTCTGAATGGGCTCATGCCCCACCATGGGCTTCAGGCCATTACTATCCCATGGAACACAGCAGAAACTGGATTGTGCTAATTTCCTTACTTGAAATCCTTGCAGTTTCCTGCTAACTATAACCTACATGTTCCTTGCTATGGACTGTAGCAAACAATACCTAATACCACACTCTGGGCATCACAGTGTACAGCATGCTTCCACTGGCCCCAGGGCTTCTAAGCTCTCCTCCTCTGCACGGGCGGCTCCCTTTCAGCATTCAGCTTATGTATTTACTGTGTATGGAGGGTACATGTGGGGGTCAAAGAATAATCTTCAAGAATAGATTCTCCTTCCACCACATGGCTCCTGGAGATGAAACTCAGATCGGCAGGCTGGGCAGCAAGCATCCTTACCTGCTGAACCACATTGCCAACCCTAGCATTCAGTTCATTTCTTTCAATCAATCAATCAATCATCAATCAATCAATCAATCAATCAATCAACTTCTTGTTTATTTTATAGTTCTTTTAGATAGCCCTGGCTGCCCTGTTTGTTTATTTCAGTGTTTATCTGTGTAGCCCTGTATTTGTTTGTTTATCTATTTATCTAAGGGTTTCTACGTGTAGCTTTGCACTTGTTTGTTTGAGGTTTCTGTGTAGTCCTGGTGCCTTGGTACTCACTTTCTTACTCTGTAGACCAGACCAGCCTCAGAGCTCCGCCTGCCTCTGTCTCCTGAGGGCTGGGATTAAAGGTGTGCGCCACCACGCTCAGCTTAGCATCCAGTTTAAATTCAACTTCCTGGGAGAGACTTTCCCTACCTACTTTTTTCTAAAGTAACTCTCTCTCTCTCTCTCTCTCTCTCTCTCTCTCTCTCTCTCTCTCTCTCTCTCTCTCTCCCTCCCTCCCTCCCTCCCTCCCTCCCTCCCTCCCTCTTTAATAGCATCTTGCTTCATTCTTCCATACCATAAGCAAAAATCAATAACAATATATCTTGACAAATTGTTTAATTAAAATTTTCCCTACAGATCTATTCTACTGAGGTGGGGGCCGCATTGCCGTACGACAATGGTCATCAATGGGCTTCTCTAAACAGTTACTAACGACTCAAGTATAAGACTTGAGGCAGAGGGCTGGAGAGATGGCTCAGTGGTTAAGAGCACTGGCTGCTCTTCCAGAGGTCCTGAGTTCAAGTCCCAGCACCCACATGGTGGCTCACAACCATCTGTAATAAGATCTGATGCCCTCTTCTGCTGTGTCAGAAGACAGCAACAGTGTTCTCATATATACATAAAATAAGTAAATAAATCTTAAAAAAAAAAAGGTTTGAGGTAGAGACCCCTAGAGTAAGACATGGGGGTCGAGACAAGCATGCATGGATCATGCCACAGAGACATGTGGAGAAATGTGGAGTCAGAGACACAGTGAGAAGGCAAGGCCACCCCTCTGGCTGTCTAGCCTACCTGGCTTTCTCTTTCTCCAGTTCCTTCTGAATCCGGCTACATTCCTGAGCCTCTTTCACCTTCTCTTCAATCTCTTGTTTCACCAGCCTCTGGGAGTCTTCGTGGATTAGCAGCTGAGACATTAAGTCCTCTACCTGGAAGGTGACAAGCATGAGGCTGAGATGGCAAACACGGGCCACGTGGGAAGGTACTTCTAGCCTAAGGCTTCAGGCTCCTGAGAGTGCACCAGTCAGGGCCGCCTCCACAGGTCTAGAGGCTTCACTAGTCCCTACACGATTATGGTTTTTTTCTTTACATTTACATGTTTATTCACTTATTTGTGTACACACTTGAATACATGCCAAGACACGTTTGTGGAGGACAGTAGACAATTTGTAAGAGTTAGTTCTCACTGTGATATATGTGCGTACATGCATGCATGCATATGCATGTACACATACACACACCACACACACACACACACACACACCACAGCACACCACACACACACAAACACAATGTGTGTGTACAGTTAGGTCAGAAGTTAATGTGTCCTCTATCATTCTCTAACTTTTTTTTTTTTTGAGGCAGAGTCTCTCTTTTTCCTTAAACCTGGAGTTTACTTTCAGCAAGACAAGCCGACCAGTGAGCTCCAGAAATCTCCTGTCTCTGCCTCTTCAGCCCTAGTGTCAGCACATGCCACCACACCCAGATTCTCATGAGGAGGCTGATAGTCTCAGCTAGGATCCTTATGCATGTGTAGTAGGTACTTTATCAACTGAGCCATCTTCCTAGCCTGTTCTTGTTTTAGAGACAGAATCCTACTATGCAGCTCAAATTGACTTCAAACTCAGCAGTCTACATCTTAAGTGCTGAGATTAAACTATACAGTAATTGAATATAACCTATTCACATTCTCCTATACATTTTAAACCATCTCCTTATTACTTATCAAACCTAATATGATGTAAACAGTACTTAATGCAATGTGAATGCTATGTAAACAGTTGTTACATACTCTTTAGAGAACAAAAAATAAGTCTATACATTTACACTAAAATGCCTTCCCAATGTTTTCATTGGCTACTGGTAGAATCTGTGGATAAAGAGGACTAGTAATACAATCCCAGAACTCTGAAAGGTACATGCTCAGCTCTGAACACCCTTCAACTCTGCATTTATTTTTGTGGCCTATCTCTGTCCTCCTGAGCTTGAGAAGCAAGACCCAGGTTCCCCTTGTTTGTAGAAGGGAATAGGATTGGCTATGTTAGGGAAGGGCTGTGGGGCAAGTAGCAAAGAGGTACCTGCTTCTGCAGGTCTATCTTGTCCTTCTGGAAGGCAGCAAGGTCGTCCCTGTGCTGCTGGGCCGCGTCCTTCAGCTCCTGCTGTGTCCCCTGAAGCTGGGCCTGCAGCATGCCAGTGGTCTCCTACAGAAAAGGAGTTGGTGAGTAAGAAGCGCTTCCACGGGAGCTAGCTCCTGAAATGCTTACTGTACAATGCTTACTTGACCTGTTTGTTTCCACTGAGCTGGCAGAAGCTGAGGCAGGAACTAGCAATGCATACTCTTTCTACCTCTATTCTCAGACCCCATTTCCCCTCCTTCCATATGACTGCATGGGTTCAGCCAATCTTTCTGGACAAGCCAAGAGTTAGTAAAGTTAGATCCTTTACCCAGATCCATTGGCAGCCTCCTGAACAGATCCCTATTTCCACTTAATTGCATATACACAGGTACATACTTCCACTTGGTCAAGTACTGCATTAAAGATATCCTGGTCAGGTGTGGTGAGCCATGCCTATAATCCCTAACTCTAGGGTAGCAGAGGCATATGGAAACTACATAATAGAAAGACCCTGCCTCAAAAAAAAAAAAAAGACATTCTAGGCTGGCATTGTTATTTAGTAGTTGAACATTTGCCTAACATATACAAGGCTGTAGGTTTGATCCCTAGAATCACAAAAAGATAACAATAATAAAAAATATAAATATATATACAGAAATACATAAAATCATGCATGATGGGGGCTAGAGAAATGGCTGGTGGTTAAGAGCACTTGGTGCTCTTTGCTTTTGCAGAATCCCCAGGTTCCGTTCCCAGCAACCACATCGTGGCTCAGAACTTCAGTAACTCCAATTCCAGGGGATCTGACATCCTCTTCTGGCCTCTGCAGGTACCAGGTGTGCACATGGTGTACATATATATATATGTGCAAAATACTCATACACATAACATAAAAATAAATAAGTCCGGTACTGGAGAGATGGCTCAGTGGTTAAAAGCATTGACTGTTCTTCCAGAGGTCCAGAGTTCAATTCCCAGCAACCACATAGTGGCTCACAACCATCTGTAATGGGATCCAATGCCCTCTTCTGGTGTGTCTGAAGAGAGCAATAGTGTAGTCACAGACATAAAATAAATAAATCTTAAAAAAAAAAAAAATGTGTCTCTCCTGCTCTTAAAATACCATTCACCAGTTTTCCAATGGCCTCAAAACAAACTCCAAGCTTCTACGGCTAAGGAGGGATCCTTTCATTCTCTCCTTTCTTCTGTACTCACCCCAAGTTTATCACACTAGAGCCAAGTACTCCCCCCTCTTTTTTTTTTTTGGTTTTTCAAGACAGGGTTTCTCTGTGTAGCCCTGGCTGTCCTGGAACTCACTCTGTAGACCAGGCTAGCCTCGAACTCAGAAATCCACCTGCCTCTGCCTCCCAAGTGCTGAGATTAAAGGCGTGCGTCACCACCGCCCGGCAAGTAACCCCTTTTATCCTTGAATTTCCCAAGCCTCTGTCTGTTTCAGGGACCTATGACAATGGAATGGCCTAACATGTCCTTCAAAACTACCCTAAGTGGGTAAGGTGCTTGCTGCCAAGTGTAATGACCTGAGGTCAATCCAGGGTCCCATATGGTAGAAGGAAGGAACCAACTCCTATACATTGAATTCCACATGCATGTCATGCTATGTGCACATGCATATACATACACACACAATAAATAAACGGATGTAATTTAAAAGCAATTAGAAACTGTCTCCTTCTAGCATTCAAGAAGCCCCAAGGTTCAGTTCCAAACAATATTTAAAACTGGGTGTTATGGTCCACACCTATAATCCCTCCATTTAGGTGGTAGAAGCAGAAGGATCAGACCCAGGACCACCCTCCATACCTGTTCCTTTAATTTCTGAATCTTCATGTCCTGCCTCAGCCTTTCCAGCTGTTGACTAGCATCTGCCAACTCCTTCTGGGTCTGCAGCAGCGTCTCCAGGAGGGACACTCTCTCCTTCTCTGTCTCTAGCTGCATCTGTGGAAAGGCAGGAAGGGCAGGAAGGGCAAGGGCTTCATGGCTCTGGATTAGCTTGTTCACCCAGGAGGCCATAAGCACATCACATTTGCTCCAAGTTCTTCCAACAGTAGGAAGAGGGGCTGAGGAAAAAGAAAAGTCTCGGACCATTAACTTAGAACCAGGAAGTGCAAAGACTGCCACCGGTTCATACACTGACAGGATGTGGTCAATGCTGGACCTCCTTCAGGAAGTATGACATAGTGCCTGCTTGCAGCTAACTGCATGTTAGTTTCCTCACAAGCAGAAGGGCGGTAGCTATACTCTCCAGGAAGCCCCTCTTGAGCCCTGCTCTCAGGACTGGAAATGTAAGAGGTAAGAGACTGGGCATGCAGAGATCACGAGAGTCCAACACTGCAAGCTGCTCACTTGGTACAGGGCGCTGTCAGCCTGGCTTCGTTCCTCTTCCCTCTGTGCACGGATAGCTTCTGTTTCCGTCTGCTGCTCTCTGAGCTTCGTTTCCAGCTCTGCTCTCTCCCTTTCTAGGGTTTCCAGGGTCTTATCCAGCTCCTGCTGCAGCAAGGAGCGCTCTTTCTCCTGCTCATGTGAAGGAGACCACAGTTAGAACAGTGAGAGGGGAGGCAGGGAGCTTGTCTGGCACACAGATCTCTTCACTGTCTCACTGTGACTTGGGCACTGCTCTAAGCCCGGTGACTCATTTCTGTAGGGAGGTTTGAATCCCCGTCTCACTAAAATTTAAAGGTCATTTGAGATTTAAAAATATATATATATTTTAAAATAATGTATAAGCTGGAAGTGGTGGTGGACACCTTTAATCCCAGCACTTGGGAGGCAGAGGCAAGCAGATCTAAGTTTGAGACCAGCTTAGTCTAAAGAATGAGTTCTAGGACAGCCAAGGCTTCACAAAGAAACTTTGCCTCAAAAAAACAAAACCAAAAAATAAGATAAAATAAAATAAATAAAAATGCCAACTGCACAACCACCACAAACACCAAACCTTTAGGGTCAAAAAGACAACTGTAGAAGCAGGTGCCCCATCAGTGTGATAACTTGAGTCCCGTCTCCAGAACCCACACTGGAGGGAGAAAACCAACGTAAGACTTCTGATGATTTTGTTTTTGAATATTTGTTCTTATTTCTGTGTAAATGTGCACTACATATGTATGTATGGGCACAGGGGTCAGAGGAAGGCTTTAAAGGCAACTGTGAATCGCCTGAGGTGGGTGCTAGGGACCAACTCAGGTCCTCTGAGGAGCAGACTCTCTTAACCACTGACCTCTCTAGCCCCTTGATCATGTTTTACAGCGAGTTTGCTGGCAAGACAGCAGCCAAAAATTTGGCCATTTTTAGAATTATGTGCTTAGATGATAGTGGGTATTATTGGAAAATACTTGTTGAGTAGCGTCCACAAGGCATTTTCTCGACCAAAATTCAGGCGTGATACCTACTGAAAGCCCCAAAGTAAAAGATTACAAACCTGCTGATTGATGAGCTAATGGCCTCAAGTTCGCTGGAAGGAGTGACTGCCATGGTCACACTTGGATCATGGTGGTCCCTTCTCTCTTTCCCTTTCCACACACTCAGACAGACTCTCTTATAACTTTTTTTTTAATTAAGTGTTTAGAGAGGGTCTCACTATGAAATCCTGGAACTCACTAAGTAGATCAGGTTGACCCTGAACTCATAGACATCCACCTGCCTCAGCTTACAAAGTGCTAGAATTAAAAGTGTGCACTGTCACTATGCCCAGCTTAGAAAAGTGTTTTACAGGATATGTGCTCTGCTCTCTCTGGTGCCTGTATCTGCCTTATTCAGAGTGGCACTGGATAGTAATCACTGGTCCACGTAAGCACCATACTTTCCCTTAGGAGTGTAGTTACTGTAGTTCCTCCATGCCTCCAAAGATATCTACATGTGAATAAAATAAAAATAAAAACAAGAAACAATTCTTTTTTCCCCCCAGACAGTTCCAGCCTTGGCTGCCCTGGAACTCGCTATATAGACTAAGCTGGCCTCAAACTCACAGAGACCTGCCTGACTCTGCCTCCCAAGTGCTGGGATTAAAAGGCATGTGCTACCATGGCTGAAGTCTCCTAACTTCTGGAAAAAACGGTATTCCTCTGTAACACAGGTAGCCTTGAACTCACAAGCCTCCTGTCTTCTGAATGCTGAGATTATAACTGTGCTCTGCTAGGTCTGCTCCTGGGCTCCACACTTCATTCTTCATACATGAAAGCAAGCAAGCACGCATGCACGCACGCACACACGCACGCACAGTGGATTTTATACCTTGAGTCACATTTCACCCTTCTAAGCAGCAGTAAGTACACCAAGAGACAGCAGGTGGCAGACTCACCGAAGGGAGGCCATGTCTCTCCTGTTTCCCAATCACATCCACCACTTACCCATTTCTCTTGGAGCCTGTTCACCTCTTCCTCGTGGGCCCCCTTCTGCCGCTCTAGAGCTGCTTGGCCCTCTTGCTTAGCTTGGGCTAGCTGCCTGGCTACTGCATCCCGCTCCTGCTGTGCCCGGGTCCTCTCAGCATCCAGTTCCAGCTTCAGGCATTTCACTTCCCCTATGATATCAGGTAAGATCACCCCTGAGCCCGTCTCACTCTTTCTACCTAATGATATTCTCCCTGCCCACCCACCTCATGAGCAACTTCCATTTCAGAGGCCCGAATCTGGCTGCTTTCTTGGCTGTTGCCATCTCTCTGGAATGCAGTGTGCCCCATCCCAGCTAGGCTCTCACCTTGAATTACTTCCTTGGCTTGAATAATAGTTTGAATCTGGACCTCCAGTTGACCCTTGGTGACCTGTATCACAGAATTTTGTTGTTGGGCCTCAAACAGATTGCTCTCCAGTTGTTCCTTGGCTGACCTATGAGATTTAGGGATCAGGAAGAGTTCTAAGCCATTAAGCCCCTTACCTTTCTCAAGAGGGACTGGGTTATAAGTACAGGTTACTCGGGGAGGTTATAGGGCAGTCACACGTCTACAACTCACTTAGCATGCATACACTTAGGACAGGGAGCTTAGCTTGTCTACCCTTGGGCTTGCAAAGCTCTCAGTGCTTGGCTGAACTAAGTGTGGACCCTACCTGAGCCCCAGAGCTTGTTCGGCGAGGTCCTGTCGGTCCCGCTCCACAGCCTGCAGGCGCACCTCAAGAGCTGCCCTCTCCCGTACTAGGGCTTCCTTCTCCTGGACTGCCCTGGCCAGTGTTTCTTCCTGTCTTTCTGCATCCTGATGCAGCTGCTCTAGTTGAGCTGTAGCTGTTTCTTGCTGGTGATGTGCCTGAGGGAGAGAAATTGATTAAATACAGAGTAAGGCAGAATCCCAGGATTCTTGCTCCAGAGCTACTACCAGGAAATCAGGGCCAGTGTGTATTCAGAGATTCTGAACTTGGCATTGTGAGCTCCGAGCACTGCTGAATAACTGGCATCTATTTATTTATTTATTTATTTATTTCCTTGATCAACCAAGAGTCCCCAGACCAGAAAGGATATTCTCCTATGTGCAAGACACTGTGCTGAGGCGAGCAGGACCTGTATATGCCAGGAAAGTAACTAATAACCTGGGAAGGGGCTCTAAGAATGGTATACTTTATAAGTATTGCCTTAGCTAATACTCCAAGCATTAGGGCAGTGAGCGGTTTGGTAGGGAAAAGTATGACTGTTAAGATTGATCTTCATTGTCAACTTCATGATTAAGAACCACCGAGGAGACACACCTCCACCTCTGTGTGTCTGTAGGATGTTTCCAGAGAGGAAATGAAGAAGGAAAGCCACCTGAATGTGGATGGCAACGTCTCATGAGCTGGAGTTGTAGACTCAATAAAAAGGGCAACAGCAGAAAGCCCAGGGGGACACCTCGTTCCCCTTCCTCTGATGGCTAAGATGTAAGCAAGCAGCTGCCACATACGCTGGCCACCACAAACACCTGCTGCCATGCGTCCCCCACTTTGGCAGACCATATCCCCTCAAGCTGTGAGTCAAAAAAACATAGGTAGACTCTGTCGCGAAAAGCAAGCAGAGAGACGGATAGACGGTGTACACGACACATGTATAGCTGTAGACGGTAGCTATAATCTCAGCACTCAGGAGGCATAGGCGGGAGGAACACTGTAAGTTGAAGACAGCTTGGTCTACATAGTGAATTCCAGGCTAGAGCTAGATTTTCTCTCAAATGACCAATGTAAGTAAGTAAATAATATAGGCTGATATTTAAGGATAAACAGATAAGTAATCGCAGCGTGAACTGTCATGTTCGAACTGAGTGTGAAGTGAGAGCAGGGAATACAGGAAGTGCATCAAGGACTGGGCTGTGGGGGTCAGTGAAGGACCCCCATAGAAATGCCTTAAAACAATGGGAAGTCCACCTCACTCATGTCACTTCTGAGTCCTTTCTAGTAACAACGAGCGTGTGACACATTGCAAGTGACACCAGCGATGGATGGCCTCTCACCTCACTTAATTTCTCTTTAAGTTCTTCCTTCTCTTCTCGGGCTCCCCTCAGTTCTGCCTGTAGCTCAGCCCCTGTCGCCTCTGCCTTCCGCAGCTGAGTCTCCAGATGAGTTTTCTTCTCCCACAGGGCTTCCCTGCTCCTTTCTGCCTCTGCCAGGTCCACCTGCAGAGCGCTTCTCAGCTGCTCCGCGGCCTCCACTCTGCTGCACATGGACTGCTTCTCCTGCTCCAACTACTGGCCAGAAAGAGAAGGGAGTGCGGGGCATCACAGGTGAATGGTTAAGTTCCCTCTGCAGACGGGGAGATCCATCCATTTGATCTGGTGTCTACACTCACACTAGCTGGCCCTGACGCTGGGATAGAGATAGAAAAGGCAAAATCTTGCTTTCAGAGAATTCAGAATAATACCAGGTGGTGGTACATGCCTGTAATACCAGCCCTTGAGAGGTAAAGGAGGATCAGGATAACAGCCTTGGCTGCATGAAACACTGTCTCAAAACAAAACAAATCGAAACAGCAGCAACAGCAACAGCAAAAAAAAAACAAAAAAACCAACAACGAACCAACCAAATAAAATACAGTAGAATAATGAAATAGAGACATTTCTGGGTCTCAGGAGATCTAGAAACAAGAAGTTTTCCCTACTAAAATGGCAGGTTAAATTTCTAAAAAACGGAGATGCTTTGGGGGTTATTTGGGCTATATTTAGCACATCTGTCTCACACAATAGCATGAAATACTTACTCTCCCTTCCAGGGACCTAGATCATCCCTATCCTGATCATTCATCCAATGCTCAAAGGCTCTGCTGAAGGTGGGGGTGTGGGGGGGAGTTACAGTGCTTACATCCAATCCTTTGCCCTCCTCTGTACTGCAAATGTCTCTCTTGCTCATTTCAGCTATATTTGGGAACTGACCTGCCTTGTTTGCTAGCTCATGGCTAATCTTTAGATAAGCCATCCCCGTCCTGGGAATCAACCTTTGCTCACCTGGAGAAGCTGCTGGTTCAGCCCAACTTTATCTAAAGCCAAAGCCTCGTTTAAAGTCCCAAGCTTGATAGCTGCAGCTCGAAGATCGGCTACCTCTGCCTTCAGGCTGTTCTCTGAACTGGATAGCTCCACAATGGACTGTTCTGCCTAAAACCAAAAGGGTTAAAATGTTTCCTGCTTTGAGTTTGCCTGGAACAGTAAACCGAACACACTCCCAATACCTGTTTTTTATTTGTAAACTTGCACTCCATTTCTTCCCTTGCATTCTAAACAAGTCTTTCATTCATTTATCCATTCATGAGACAGGTGGCTACAGCACAGAAATACAGAAAGCTGTGCAAACACCTACAGTTGTCACGACACTATAGAAACTGTAAGTGCACTGAAAACTCAAAGAAGGCACCAGTTCAGTTAGGGACAGGAGCTGGTTCTTGGGAGTCAAGGTAAAAAAGGTGTCATGAAGGAAGATGACTTGAGACTGTAGCTGATGCTCTGTGTCAAGAGCAAAGGACACCTGGAGTGAAGGTGGCCTTGGGAAGGCAGGCCACAAATAGTTTAAGGCAGATGGCAAAAGGTGTTGAATGTGATGCCAGAGTTGACAAGCCATTGACGTTTTCATATATAGATATAGATAGGTTTTTTAAAGATTTATATTTTAAAATCATGTGTATGTATGTGTTTGTGTATGCTTGTCTCTTTTCTCATGAATGAATGAATAAATGTATGAATATGAGTGTGGTGCCCACAAAGTCCAGAAGAGGATGTCAGATTCCCCTGGAGCTACAGGCAGTTGTGAGTCACCTGATGTGGGTGCTGGGAAAGGAACTCAGATTCTCTACAAGAGCAGTGCACACTCTTCACTACGGAGCCATCTGCAGCCCCATTGGATGGTTTTAAGAGACTAACAACCAGGTTTATATTTTAAAAAACTCACTTAATTTCAATGCGGAGGGTGTGTGGGGAGGGAGAGGACCCAGAAGCAGACTAGTGATTCCAGCTCTATCCTAGGAGCACAACTTGTCAGCAAGCGAGAAGCCCCATGTACCCTGGCCAAGGCTGCAGCCACTTCCACTTGCTCTTGCTTCAGTAACTCTCCTTCGAGGCGACTTGACTCCAGGGCTTCTCGAAGAGTGATCAGCTCACTTAGTGATTCTGATTGCTTGGCTTCCAGGCCCACCAGCGTCTCCTGACTGAGAAGGGAAGGACAGGAAGCTAGAGGAAGTGTTTGGGACTGGCCACATTTCAACTGGAGGCAGAAATATACTTACTTTTTTCTATGCAAAACAACAACAACAAAACAACCAAAACAAATGCCGTGGAATAGGAAAGCTCTCTCAGAGCAAGTGACAAGACAAATGTGTACAACAGGGTGCTAGTGGACAGTCCACACAGAAAGTGGCATGTTGGCACAGGGCAGACTGCAAAGACACATGAGTAGTTAACTGAAATGGTTACCAACAGAAAGAAGGTGGAACAGAGAAAGCACAGATGTGAGGAGACTTCCCGTGTGCATCTCTTTTTTTTTTTTCTCTTTTTTTTTTTTTTTCTTTTTTTTTTTTTTTCTTTTTTCGAGACAGGGTTTCTCTGTGTAGCCCTGGGTGTCCTGGAACTCACTCTGTAGACCAGGCTGGCCTTGAACTCAGAAATCCGCCTGCCTCTGCCTCCCAAGTGCTGGGATTAAAGGCGTGCGCCACCACCGCCCGGCCTGTGTGCATCTCTTTAAATAGGTGGGATTTTGCTGTTTGTTTTGTTTATTGAAACAGGGTCTGGCTCTACAGCCCAAGCCAGCGCTGAACCCACAGCAATCTTCTTGCCTTGGTCTCCCCAGGGTAGGATTACAGGTATAAACCAATATACCCCGGTATCTTTTGAAATAGTTTTGGCTTTTGACTTACCTAAGTATATTATTGAGTCAAATAGATTAAATTTTTCTTTAGGGGGTGTCGGGTTTTTGAGACAATGATTCTCTGTGTAGCCTTGGCTATCCTGGAACTCTGTAGATCAGGCTGGCCTCAAACTCAGAGAACTGCCTGCCTCTGGAGATTAAAATGTAAACACATGTATCTGTGTGGACTGTCTGTCCTTTACCTCGTGGAGGGACACAGGACATGGTCCTACCCTTTGGCAGGCCTTCAGGCTTCCTCAAGCTTCCACTGCTTACTAGTTGTAAGGAATGAGGCACACAGGAGGGGATATACCAAGGGAAGAGCCTGCTGCCAGGCTCTGTGCTCGCACTAAAAACTGAGCTCAAGCTGGGCAGTGGTGGTGCACACCTTTTATCCCAGCACTCAGGAGGTAGAGCTGCTGGGTCTCTGAATTTGAGGCCGGCCTGGTCTATAAAGTGAGTTCCAGGATAGCTAGGACTACACAGAGAAACCCTGTCCCCCCCAAAAAAAGGGGGGTGATTTAAGGCTAGCTAGGGCTATAAAGTGAGACCCTGTCTCAAACAAACAAACAAACAAGCAAAAAAAATTGTTCTATTTATTTGTGTGGGGAAGGGAACCACAATATACATGTCGAGGTCAGGGGACAGCCCATGGGCATCAGAGGAGCGAACTCACATTGAGTCATCTTAACAGCCCTGTGCTAGCATTTGAAGTACTGCCCCGTCTTTTCAATAACCCTTCAAATATCATCTTGATTTTGCCAAGAGACTCACCTACTCTGGTGGCAAAGCCAAAATCTACAGCAACCCTCTAGAGTCCCTTCCCTTTCTGTAGCATTACCTAGTGGAATGTACAGGCTAGTTACTGTAGGCATTGACCCGGGTTTCCCTTCTTGACCAGTAGATCACTTTCTCAGTGGGCTTATCTTCTAAACCTCCTACTTCCTTTTCTTTACTATTCCGTCCCCTTGATCATTTTTTTCTACAAATTAAAATAGATCAAGGTCCCTCAAAGAAAACCCCCTCCTCCATAAAGTATCCCTGGTCCCCAATAACTATTGCTCCTATGCTTCCAAACACCAAGTCTGGACTGTAGTGAGGACATCTTTCCTTTAGCTTCGTGTCACTTTAGCATTTGCTTGTCTGACTTCTCATTAGAGTTCAGGTCCTTGAGATCGTAGTCACCCTCTTACTCATTTTTGTAGCCCTCACAGTCCCTCATCCGGACAGGAACTCAAGAATGCCTAGATCAGCAGTTCTCAACCTGGGGGTCATGACCCCTTTGGGGCCACATACTACATATTCTGCATATTATATACTTATATTACAATTCATAACAGTAGCAAAATTACAGTTATGAAGTAGCAATGAAATAATTTTGTGATTGGGGGTCACCATATCATGAGGGACTGTATTAAAGGGTTGTAGCACAAGGAAAACCACTAGACTCTACATAAACACACTGAACTCCTTTTTCTACAGAAGCAGTAAGCTAATGTGAACCCACCAAGTGTAGGCTTTAGGCTCTCTATTTCCTAAGAGTGGGGCTGGGGAAGGCCAGGCCCTGGTGAGAAGAGGCCTGGTCACACTTACAGGCGCTCCCTCTCACGGACAGCCAGGTGCAGCTCCTCCTGCTGCTCCAGCTTCTCCCCTTGAGCAGAGTCCCCCTGCAGCTGCAGCTCTGTATTCATCCTGCGCAGTCGCCACGCCTCCTGTTCCAGTACTTCCAGTTGCTGCTGCAGGTCTCCCCTGGCCTTCTGAAGCAGCTCCCGCTCCCTGAAATTGAGATCAGAGATGGGCAGACCTAAGGACCAAAGATCAAAGATTCTAGTGGAAAAAGACTTTGTAGAGCCAAAGGCAAGAGAAGCTTGTTTCTTTTCAATAACAATATATGATTGATAGATAGATAGATAGATAGATAGATAGATAGATAGATAGATATAACTTTTTCTTCAAGCAGAAAATCATTTATAATATCATCTTAGAGACCAAAACCCAAAAGGTTTTCCCACAGGAAATAGAATAAAAACCAAAGCAGCCTTAAGCATCCATGGGTCCAGGGACAGCAGGAAGAGTCAGTCAAACACAGGACAGTGGTAGTAAATGGCTTAATGAGGAATGAAACCAGACACTGGGGAACTGAGAATGTGGCTCAGGCCTCAGAGTGCTTTCCTAAAAAGCCTAAGGTTCTGGGTTTGATCCCAGCCCTGCAAAACTGTAACTAAAAACAGACATGTAGCAAAATAAAATTTTGAAGGCTTTGCTTTCATTTAAAAAACAAAAACAAACGAGCAGACATGGCAGGGAGGAAGAAGCAGCCTGCTCACTCACTTGCTGAGAGAGTCCACCTCTCCCTGAAGGTCCAGAGTCTGGCCTGCCAGAGCATCCCGCTCCCCAGTGAGCTTCTGTAGCCTCTCCCTCAGGGCTTTGCCCTCTTCCTCCCACTGACTATGCTGCTGCTGCAAGAAGCTCATAGCCTCCTGGCAGCCTGAAAGCTGCTGCCTGAGGTCCTGTGGAAGGAGATCAATAGAAAGAAGGCGATGAACAAGAAGCCAGAGGCAAGGAATGTCTCCAAGGTAAGGGGACTGGGAACAGAAACGTGGCCAGCTGAGATGCCAACGGATCAAATTATTGGGCTCTGTGTTTCTAGACCTTGGAGCTCACCAAATGTGGTGGCATGAGGGAATACTAATGTGTCTTGGAGTAGGGGAACCGTTACATTCTCCCAGCCCTCTGCTGCTTGCTGCCACTCAAAGATTACATGCATGCACTTGGTATGAAGAATATATATATATATATATATCTGTAAGCCCCACAGGGCAAACAAGAAATGTTAATGAGCACTTTGGGATGCAACTGAATATCTTATGACTGCCAAGCTGAAGGGGTAATGCAGACTAGAAGTGTGCCTAGGGTCTGAGGAGCAGCCCTGAGGGCTCTCACCTGCACAGCCTGCTGTCTCCGAGTCAGCACTGAATGCACCAGAGTAAGAGCCTTGTCTGGGTCCTGGGGATCAAACTGGGAAAGGTCATTACAGTCTGACTGCATTGAGTTCTCATGACCTGAGGCTTGGGTCACAGTGTCCTCTTCTTCCACTGAGGCCTGAAATGCAAGTCAGTGTTACAGAGATTTGCACTAAGAGCCAGGCAACATGAAGGCTCTCTTCACAGGTCCTCCTCCAGGCAGGGACAGGGAAGAGAACCTAAGAGCAAAAATGACTGGTCCCTTCAACTCCTATGCTTGGTGATTTAAGTACAGAGTTATCAACACCGCTAGAATCCTCTCTGGGGCAGTGAGTGAGGAAAAAGGGAAGAAAATGTAACTACAACGTCAGAGACAATTCAGC